TTAAGCTACTAGGGAGGAACCAAGGAAGGTTGGTACAGGTAAATTTTTCGTTTTATCTTTCCTGCAGAAACCTATAATCCATTTTGTTAATGAATCAGTTTGTCATCATTTTCATAAAGATATGCCCTGTTCTGTGTATGTGAAAGTATACTGCAGCCCCTACAAGCTTAAACAACGCTTGGATGGCCTTGTCCCATTCTCATCTCTGTCCAAGCAATGTCCAGAAGTTTTCATCTCTGTCCCTCTCTGTCCCTTTCTGCCATCAGCAGAAAGATTCTGCCATCTGCTGTCCCTTGCCCTTCCCAGTAGTTCCCTCCAAACCTTCTGTGTGTCTCAGCGATACTGTCCTTGTAAGGCTGGAGTCAACCAGGACTTCTGCATGCTAAGCAGGGAATGCCCATCCGTCTTTGGCCCTCTCCTCTCTTCTCCAATCACATGAAACCTGCACTAATCCTCCTGCCTCCTGCTGCTTTCATACATGTCCACAGGTGCTGCCTCTTCCAAGCCAGCAGTTGGCCTTTGGCCATGTCAGCAGCACATACTATATATATTTTTTGGGCTGTACTAATTTGGACTGTTGCTCTTGGAGCTTTATTCTTTTCTTTGAATAACAAAGCCCTTTTTAAGTGATTAATGGGCCTGCTGAGACTTCTCTGGTGGGGCTTCCTGTAACCTCAGTGATGCCCCTGTCTCCAGAACCAGATGTGTGACTCCCCAGGAGTTATGTCAGCAGCACCAGGATGCCTCAGGACAGGTCTTTGATTTGTGAGTTATGCACATAAGTGAGGCACTGTAAGTAATGGTGGTGGTGGCAGAATGATTAACTCAGTGGCAATGGAAGCAGATTATAGGAGATACATGCCAAGTGCCTCTACGGGTTCCTTTTTTGGTTGCTTTGCCCCATCTATTGGTGAGAAGCTGTTTTCTAGCCATTTTTACCAGGCAAGTTCTAAAATGATTGCTTACCCACTACTGCCTCCATTAAACTATTGCACAAAAATTCTTATCAGAATGATTTCCTTATCCTCTCTTGTTTATATCACTTTATTCTCTTCTTCAGTTGCCTTTTTGCTTTAAAAGTAAAATACTAATATTGATCTATGAGCTGCAATACCACAAACAAAGGGGTAATTTGTGATATTAGATAGTGACACAGATCTAGCAGAGAAAATGCTGGCTTGCTGATTCCCATTTTGCATTTCCTGCTCTGTTTTAATTCCTTGCACTCTTTTTTTTTTCACTTTTTCACCAAAAATGAATTAAATCATGATGTTAGGAAGGTAGAGAGAGGCAGGGTGAAATTTCAGCTCTGCAGTATATTCATCCTTACGCTGTTTGCTTAGGTCTTGATCCAAACAATACATGAGCATGTTTTCTGAGTAGAAGAGAAATCCTATCTTGACTTCAGTGGGTGCTGAAGGTAACAAATACTTCTGAATCTCAGTCAACCTAAGATCTGTCAAGTATGGCAACTTCTTTGGATTTTTTTTGACTAGGAACCCCAAGTAAGCAATCTAATGGACACTGAAAAATAAGTACCTCTGAAAAAGTGATGGCTATTGAAAGAATATTTTCCTAAGAGAAACAGTTGAATCCCTATTGTATGACTCAAAATTATATTAAGAAAAAAAAAAAAAGGCTGGCACACCGCAAGCAATATTGTGCTGCCTAAAGATGAGTAAGAAAGACTCTTAGGATATTTCTGATTGAATTTATGCAGAGAGATGTGAGTTTTTGAGGACCTTTTACTCTCAACAAGGTTAACAGTGCAAAAATTGTGAAGTGTTTATTTTACCCCACCCTGAGCTGCTACATGATTTTTCATTAGATAAGGCACCTGGATGGACTCATATTTCCCTCCAAATAAATAAACAGATAAACCCAAACCACAAGCCTATTCCATTCATTCCTTCAGAGATCTTTTTGCAGAGGTAAATTGTTCACAGAGAAACAACATTAATCAAGACGAAATTAGGCTGGATGCCACAAGAGGTTCCAGCAGACAAGCTTTGAGTTGCATGCTACCATTGATGGCCTTTAACTCCTTCATATCTCATTTTGGAAGCAAAGATAGAGTTCACGTCACAGGGACAGAAACTAGCAGTGCATTCAGCTGCCTGCAGAAGCAGGCACTTCTGCTCTGCTTGCAAGCGTGGTTCCCTGGGAGCATGTGCTGGTATCTCTTCATTTTTGGGCAGAGTGATGAAATAAAGATCAATGCTGATGCTTCTTAGAATGGTCTTCAGTGAGCAGGACCTGAGGCTTTCAGTCGCTTTAGACCTGATAAACTGTTTCTGCTTCTTCCCTTATAGGGACCTCCAGGGCCCCCTGGCATTGCTGGACCTCCTGGACCTCCTGGAGCACCCGTAAGAAAGCAGGCTTGTTTGTTTTGTATGAAAGAGAGAAAAAAGCATTGGGGGATATGTTTAGGTCATGAATTTCAGTGAGAACTGAGCTGGGGCCTCTGCCAACATACGTTTCCTCTTTGCCAAGTGTGAGATGTGCATGAGTGCCCCATGGGGATGGACTGATGTCTGCAGGACTCCCCACTCCTGCAGGGGAAGGGGGAATCACAATGGGATGGGCAGCAGGAGTCTCCAGCAAGGCGTCTGTAAAGGGCTGCTTTGCTGATGGTTCTCTGTGCTGACTTCTTTTTCAGGGCCTGCCAGGAGAGATTGGTGTTGCTGGCAAAACTGGACCTCCAGGACCAGCTGTAAGTTTTGAGGGACAACCTCCATGTCCTCCAGGCTCTCTGTCCCTCACATAGTTTACATCTAGAGTGCAAGTCTGTGCTGCTTTGCTGCATGCAACATTTCAGTGCTGGCCAACTCTTACACGTTTCCTCTTCTGTGTGCATTACAATCCAGTCCCCTTCATAAGCAATAATTTCAACATAGTTATATACCAGCACTGGCCAAATGCATCTCCATTATTTCTACATACTTTATATGCTGCTTTTCAAAAATCATTTTGCATCTGACATTATTCTTACATACTTGTAGTGTCTTGCATCAGGCCTAAGAGCTGAAACAAAAATCTCAGATTTAGGAGAGCCTAGCAATTTCTGTTGTCTGTTAAAGTAAATAAAGATGAATTATAATATATACTAAATATTAAGGAGTGCCACCTACAGCCTCTAGTGTTAAGTGATTGACTGACACTTGGAAAGGGGACAGAACTTTTTCTTGCTGTTTTGTATGCATTACAGGAAGTCTTTTTAATTTTTATCTTGCCAAATTATACTGTGTCTAGGTATTGTAAGTATTCTGTAATTTAATTTTAAGAGCCTGCATATTGTATAATAAATTACTGACTTATAAAAGGAGAAATAGACTTTAAAAAACTTTATAGCTATAGAAAATAAAGACTTACAGTGAATGATAAATACAAACATACTTTTACAGTTATTTAAAAATCCGTAGTACCGCTGTATGGTTGTGGTTTTTTGTAACAACACTGACCTCCAGTGGTTATTTATCAAAACTGGGATACTAGAAAGGGAGGTGAATAGCCATGTGCATTGTAGTTCTGTGTAGTTTGAATCACAATAGCAAAAAACGCAGAAGAAAATGCATGAGGTGGTGGTTCTTCTCTTAGGCCAGTGGCAAAGGGGATAAACTGAAATACTTACACTGAGCTTGCTATTAACGGCTTAATGAAAAAAAATGACATTAGAAATTAAAACTCATCATTTTCTTTTATTCAGGGGTTGCCTGGCAAAGATGGATTAAATGGTCTTCCTGGACTTCCAGGTCAAAAGGCAAGTGACTCTACATACTCTGGTATAAAACTAGTTAGCTGGACAGCTTGTCCAGGTGTGCTAGTGAGCCTAAGTCCAAAGTGTGTTGAATACCCATTGCTGAATCCTCCTCATCTAGTTCCACATCTCTGAGCTACTGGTAAATAGGTACCAAATTGCTGGCATGATTTGTGCTGAGTGCTTTATGAAGATAGAGTTGGTTGTAAATTTGGTAAGGGTGGGAAAATCTATTTCAGTCTTCATATCCTATTAGATAAATACAGCTGAGCGTTGCAGAGAAGCTTACACTGCCACTCAGAAAAGCCAATGACTATGGCAGGTCCATTGTCAAGATATTTGACTAAGACACAAATGACATTTGTCCAAGACACAGATTGAAAAAAAAAAAGAGAGAGGAAAAGGATAAGAGAAGTGTGTCAGGCTTCAAAGCCATTATTTTCTCTCCTTACTGACGGGCTGGAAAGAAGAGATGCCATCCATCTAAGTGTTCTGTGGATCCATATGACAGAAAGATGGCTCTTTTTTGTTTCCTATCTGTTATGCCTTGCTTGAAAGCTTCTAAATGACAGATTTAGAAGCTTTTTAGTTTGTTGTCTCTGCAGTGGGAGAAGAGACCTAGGAGATTTAGAGGTAGGAGAGATCCTGGTTGAGTTGCCATCACTCTATAAATGAAACGTTCAGGAAAAAGTGCCATATGTTTGGTAGAAGACCCATTTCTATGTGGGGCCGATCAGGGTTTTGACAGTCTTTAATATTTGCTGTCTTGAATTACATAAGGCCAGTAATCTTCTTGGCTCTGGTAGTTAGGCATCATTACCCTTATTTGCTCTAATAATGCACTGTATTTATGCTCGCCTCTCTCATGCGACTGCAGGGAGTTCTTGAGCCCAGCTCCAGCAGAGTTCCCAACTCTTCTTGGTGAATAAAAGTGAGAAACTGGGACTTGAGAAAAGGAAGACATCAGGAGAACTGGGGCTCAATTTGCTATGGACATATTGCTGATTTATTTTGTGTTATTCCATAATTATTCCAGTAGGCTGATTGGTGCTGGAGAATTATCTGCAAATATTACAAGACTGGAAAAACAATCTAGGGTCATATGACTTCTTTTACATTCTCATACATTTACATACTGGATATCTGAGTCAAATAATTCCTTGCTGTTACCAGCAGATATGCTGTATTATCAGAGAAGTTTGTATACTCACTTGTATTCCTTGCAGGGAGAACAAGGAGAAAAGGGTGAAGAAGGCTTTCCTGGAAAAGCTGGCCCCAAGGTATGTATTTTCATTTTATAGTTTGTTATTGTTAGCCAAGACCTGATTTTGATATCCCTTTTACTGAAGTCAGCTGAGTAAGGTTCCAGTAAATCTTGAGAGATAAAAGAAAGAGAGGATGTGGGTTAACCTCTGGATTTCACAGTTCATGGTGTTTCAAGAGGTCAAACCCCGTTTAATGCTTCTCTCACGTCTGAGTGTGTAGAAAGACCTGACGTGATAGTTATACCAGATACGTGTGGTCCAGGGTTCCAAGCTATGGAGAGGCCACTTTCAGTGGCTTAAGGAAAGATGGAAGAACATGGGTTATGACAATAGGAGACACACTGTAATAATGATAAAGCAGTAATCCTGTGCAGCCTTAATGTTGTGCCTTTTTCAGGGTGAGCCAGGGAGCCGTGGCCAAACTGGTGAACAGGTGAGTATGAGTATTTTTAGCAGCCAAGCCTGCATGTCAGAGCAGTATAAAGTGACCTCACACAATGTTTGTCTCTAACAAGGTAATAGAAAGTCATTTGCATCTGTAGCTGAAGATGAAATGGATGAATGGATGAGATTAGGTTAGACAAAGTAGTGTAAAAACTTGTGCAATAAAATAGGACATTCACTATCTGTATCACTAATTGGACTTAGAGGGAATAGGGGAAGAAAACTCACAAAATAGCTTTTGTAAGCTGTGGTAGGCTATCCATGCCCATTAAACTTGAAGAATTGCTGACAGATTTTTAATTCACCTTGACTATGGTGAATTCTAATCCTGTCTTCCAAAACACTTGTCCTTTTCTCTCTGTAGCATGGTATTCTGCATGTATTTCATAAATATTCCATTACCTTAATCAGAAATTTAAATATTGAACAGTGCCAGACCCATATAGGGCTTCGCATATCCTGGAGCTTAAAAGGAAGCAGCTAGTAAACAGCAGTATTTATGTAGTCTTTTTTAGTCAGTTGCGAACCTTCCTCTGGAGATGTTTCTTCTACATTGTATTTCTGCAGTTTGCTAATGATAATGTCATGTTAGGCTATATCAGATGTCTTACTGATGTTGAGATGTATCACACACATACTTCTTTCCTATATGCTTAGTTATCCTGTCAAGGGAGGGAATAAGATGTGTTTGGCATGATTAGTTCTTGACAAATTCACATTGGCTGATTCTAATCACCTTCCTATCCTTGAGGACTTATTAACAGATTAAAACTTAGTTTCTCTATCCAGAGATCAAAATTAGGCCACCCATTTTCTTTTATCCTCTAAACCCTTCTTTTTCCCTTTTTCAATGTTATGCATGTCTTTGTCCTTATCATGATCTGGGGGATCTCTTTATCAGCCGGGCTCCTGTAGTGGCTTTCATAAAGCATTGCTCTGCTGCCATCATCTGCAATCACTGTCTTTCAAGATCCACACACCCCTTATAACCAGACATAAGATCTTATTTCATCGTCTGATTTCTCCTGCAGACTCATTGTGCCTAAGTCATAGTAATGTTTTGTCTTTTCCCCTGCTTTGAAAATAATGTCTTTAAAGCAGAGATCATCATCTTTTAGCTGGGTATTTGTGCAACTCTTAGTGAAGCACTTAGTGAAATTGCATCCTGCAATGCCTGAAATCCTTTGTGATATTTCACTGCAGATACAGATAGAAAAAGGATAATAAATAAAATCTGCTTGGTCACTCCCAAATAAGAAAATGTGTCAACTCGGAGCTAAATTTGAGAATACTTGCTATGATTAGAACAAAACGTATTAGGCAGAAATTGTTATTACTCCAAATATTATAAACCAGGAACTTTTTATTCATTTTAATCTAGACTCTGGTTTTGGTCCATTATTGTTCGTTTTTTATTCTTAATCATGGTTGAGAATGAAGAAGTTTACTAATAGAAGCCATGCTTGATGCATATGCCTACATTTCTTACACGACTTTATCTCACTTCCAGGGTGAAGCAGGTCTTCCTGGCCCCCAAGGTTCACCTGGACTGGGAGGACAGAAAGGAGATCAGGTGAATGACTTTGAACCACAATTTGATTTTAATTTGCATGTTTGGTGACAGGAGGACTTCTCTAGAACATCCCTAGATGATGTTCTCTCTTGGTGTGGTTGCTGTGATGAGTAGTCTTTGGCAATTCTGCACCAACTCCTACTCCTTCTAAAATGGCACCTTTCCTAATTGCAATAGAGAGGCAGGTAAGTACTTGTCTGCTTTAAACCCAAAAGGTTATGACTGATGTTGTTTTCACAAAGCAGCAGAAGAGGTACATAAAAGCAATAGAGGTGCATATCTTTTTACACCTC